GATAAATAATAATAATAATAATAATAATTGCTGTTAGAAAATGTTTACTGAGAGAATTGGTTGAGTTCGAGTGTTTTTTTTTTCTCTGTCTGTCTATCAGTCTATATGTATATCTATCTCATTTTCACTTCTTACCTTCTGTCTCGCTTTCGTTCTCTCTTGTTTTGTCTGTCTGTCTGTCTCTGTTTCTGTCTCTGTCGCTGCCTCTCTCTATCTATCTATCTACCTGTCTATCTCTATCTACCTATCTATCTCTATCTATCTATCTATCTATCTATCTCTATCTATCTATCTATCTATCTATCTATCTATCTATCTATCTATCTATCTATATCTATCTATCTATCTATCTATCTATCTATCTATCTATCTATCTATCTATCTATCTATCTATCTATCTATCTATCTATATCTATCTATCTATCTATCTATCTATCTATCTATCTATCTATCTATCTATATCTATTATCTATCTATCTATCTATCTATCTATCTATCTATCTATCCTATCTATCTATCTATCTTCTATCTATCTATCTATCTATCTATCTATCTATCTATCTATCTATCTATCTATCTATCTATCTATCTATCTCTATCTATCTATCTATCTATCTATCTATCTATCTATCTATCTATCTATCCTATCTATCTATCTACCTATCTATCTACCTATCTCTATCTCTCTGTCTATGTATCTCTATTTTTCTTTCTTTCCTTCTGCCACAAACAAAGAGAATGTCGACCTCGTTATCTGCGTTTTTTTGTTGTTGTTGTTGTTGTTGTTGTTTTTTCGTTTTTTTCGTTTTTTTAGTTTTTTCGTTTTTTTCTTGTTTTTTTTTCGTTTTTTTTTTTTACGACGCTTCTGTAGATCGGTAGTTTCTTGTACCGAGAACTATGTCACATTACTAGTAGAAGCAAAATAGAAACTACCTGGTTTAAATAAGATTTTTTTTCTATCCACGTCCTGAACACTGACAGAAAATGAAAACGTAACAGATCTATAAGGAACGTAATTAAAACTATTAGAACGAAAACATATTTGGTCATATAAGTCAGATCTATAAGGAACGTAATTAAAACTATTAGAACGAAAACATATTTGGTCATATAAGTCGGTCTGTTTATTCCCATCCCCTTTACTCCTCTTGTGAGAGAATAGTCTTTGTATAGTCTTTATATATAAGTAAATATATAGATAAATAATAGATAGATAGATAAGTAAATAGACTGATAGATAAGTAAACAGATAGACAGATAAGTAAATAGACTGATAGATAAGTAAACAGATAGACAGATAAGTAAATATATAGATAAATAATAGATAGATAGATAAGTAAATAGACTGATAAATAAGTAAACAGATAGACAGATAAGTAAATAGATAGATAGATAAGTAAACAGATAGACAGATAAGTAAATAGATAGATAAATAAGTAAACAGATAGACAGATAAGTAAATAGATAGATAGATAAGTAAACAGATAGACAGATAAGTAAATAGATAGATAGATAAGTAAACAGATAGACAGATAAGTAAATAGATAGATAGATAAGTAAACAGATAGACAGATAAGTAAATGGATAGATAGATAAGTAAACAGAGAGACAGATAAGTAAATGGATAGATAGATAAGTAAACAGATAGACAGATAAGTAAATAGATAGATAGATAAGTAAACAGATAGACAGATAAGTAAATATATAGATAGATAAGTAAACAGATATAACATAAATCTATAAGGAACAAAGACTATTTATATATTATATAAATCTATAAGGAACGTAATTACAGATATTCGATTGAAAACATATTTGGTCATGTAAGTCGGTCTGTTTATTCCCATCCCCTTTTCTCTTCTTCTGAGAAAATAGTCTTTGTTATTAATGGATTTTACTCCTATTATTGGATTATCAATTTCCTCTAGAGTTTGTAAAACAAAGACTGACTTGCAAGGATCTGTCTAATTACAGTGATTAGAACTTTTGATTAAGTCTTGAATTGCAAGGATTGTAAGACCGAAGTCACGGTTATTCTCTTATGAGTCATGTTTATTAAGTCATTTTATATTTTATCATATATTTTATCATATATTATATTTTATCATGTCATTAAGTCATGGTTATTCTCTTATGAGGATTATAGTCCACGAGTCCTAGTTCTTATCCCTGTCTATCCTATGAACTATTATTCGTGACCATTTTAAGGGCGTGTGTGTGAGGAGAAAGAGACTTCAAGAAAAAGGGAGATTGAAGGAGAGAGATTGAAGGAGGCGTGAAGAGGAAAGGGGAAAGGGAGAAGAAGTGGGGTGGCATAGATGAAAAGGGAATGAGGGGAGGGAAGGAAGGACAGAAGAGAAAGAAAGAGGTGGGGAGTGCTAAGGGGGGGGCTACTGGAGGGAGAGGGGGTGCTACTGGAGGGAGAGGGGGGGCTACTGGAGGAGAGGGGGGGCTACTGGGAGGGAGAGGGGGGGCTACTGGAGGGAGAGGGGGGGCTACTGGAAGGGAGGGGGGGGCTACTGGAGGGAGAGGGGGGGCTAACTGGAGGGAGAGGGGGGCTACTGGAGGGAGAGGGGGGGCTACTGGGGGAGAGGGGGGGGCTACTGGAGGGGAGAGGGGGGGGCTACTGGAGGGAGAGGGGGGCTACTGGAGGGAGAGGGGGGGCTACTGGGGAGAGGGGGGGGCTACTGGAGGGAGAGGGGGGGCTACTGAGGGAGAGGGGGGGCTACTGAGGGAGAGGGGGGCTACTGGAGGGAGAGGGGGGGGCTACTGGAGGGAGAGGGGGGGCTACTGGAGGGAGAGGGGGGGGCTACTGCTACTGGAGGGAGAGGGGGGCTACTGGAGCTACTGGAGGGAGAGGGGGGGCTACTGGAGGGGGGGGGCTACTGAGGGAGAGGGGGGGGGCTACTGGAGGGAGAGGGGGGGCTACTGGAGGGAGAGGGGGGCTACTGGAGGGAGGGGGGGGCTACTGGAGGGGGGGGGCTACTGGAGGGGGAGGGGGAGGGGAGGGGGGGGGTACTGGAGGGAGAGGGGGGTACTGGAGGGAGAGGGGGGAGGAGGGAGGGGGGGGCTACTGGAGGGGGAGGGGTCTGGAGTAATGGATGGGAGGGGGGGGGGAGGGGAGGAGTGATAGGGAGGTTGTACTTTCTGGAGAAAATCTACGTGTTATATGCAGGTATTACGTTATGCTGCCCTACAGTGGTTAGGCCGGTATCACACAAGCTGTATTATCGATCTGAATGCAGCATAATGATCAATAATGATATTAATTAATAATAATAATAATAACAATAATAATAATGATCATAATAACGAATGAATGATCATAAAAGAACTATATTCGTGGAATTATCGAAATTATCAAATTATCAAAATTATCGATCTGAATGATCATAATGATCAATAATAATATTAATGAAGAATAATATTAATAATAATAATAATAATGATCATAATAACGAATGAATGATCATAAAAGAATAAATAAACATGAAATAAGAAATAAGAAATAATAAAGATGAAATAAAGATGAAATAATAAAATAAATAAATAATAATGAATAAATGAAAAGATGAAATAAGTCTCGCTCACCCGGTTTGACTGACGCTCGACAAATCAAACTGTCTGAGCATACGAACCGCTAATAAATAAAACAAAATCAAACATATAAAACTATATAAAATAATAAAACAAAATATAAAATATAAAATAAAAAATAGAATATAAAATGATAAAGCAAAATCAAACTGTCTGAGCATACGAACCGCTAATAAATAAAACAAAATCAAACATATAAAACTATATAAAATAATAAAACAAATATAAAATATAAAATACAAAATCAAGCATATAAAACTATATAAAATAATAAAACAAAATATAAAATACAAAATACAAAATCAAACATATAAAACTATATAAAATAATAAAACAAAATAAAATATAAAATACAAAATCAAACATATAAAACTATATAAAATAATAAAACAAAATATAAAATATAGAATATAAAATAAAAAATAAAATATAAAATGATAAAACAAAACAAACTGTCTGAGCATACGAACCGCTAATAAATAAAACAAAATCAAACATATAAAACTATATAAAATAATAAAACAAAATATAAAATAGAAAATAGAAAATAAAAAATAAAATATGAAATAAAACAAAATAAAACTGTCTGAGCATACGAACCGGCTGTGACCTCCGCCGCAAACCATTAAAAAAAAACAACAACAACAACAAAAATGGTCGTGTATTATATCCGTATATCTTATCACAAAATAAGTTTCGCTCACCCCGTTTTACTGTCTGAGTATAAGAATCTCTGATGAGATTCGCGAAAACCATTAAAAAAAAAACAAATAAACAAATGTGTATTACTATCCGTTTCCTTA